GCAGGAAAATGGTTTGTGAAACTTGCATTGTTCTATCCCAGCTGAAAAATGTATTGGTCAGTTACCGATGCCAGATTGTAATGTTGGCCTTTATTTAACATACGTTTTACTCGTTATTCGCCCAAGCCTGCCCTTTCAGTTCTGAGCCACATTACCTCGTCTTGGCCAGACTGTGTCAGGACAATATTCTATGGTAATACAGAACAGCTGTTGTTTGATTCAGGCCCATCATTATCCCTCTGACACTGTTTCCTATGCGTTTCATGTCATTGTTAATGTGTGCTTTTTCCGTGTTAACTAGTTAACTAGTTGACTAGAGACTTCAGTTATTAGAGGGAGCACAAGGCAATCAATGGTTCTGTACTGATAATAGTTCTCTAAAATGTTCTCCTGACTGCGTTTACCCTACTTTGCATCGTGTGTTATTATCCCATCATGTGTTTGGCTCAATGTAACCACTAACAATATTCCTTGGGGATAATAGTCATTGGCAGTTTCTTGTTCTCCGGTCCACCCACACTATATTTATCCTTTTCTACGCTGCCCCCCATGACCTACACATAGAATTCTTGCATAAGATTTGTGTTTTCATGTTTCCCATCAGCTGAGGGGAGAAATCCTGGGAATAGGAGGTTGGCACTGTGTGCTTTATATACAGTTTTGCCAGAAATTTGTTTCAGATCATAAATCTGTTTTCACGTTCAGCAGATTAACACGTATCACTCCTACATTCTACAAATGTGTTTCATTTGTTATTTACATGTGTGCAAATATCAGAGACGCTCACTAAATCTGTAGCTTGTATTATGTTGTTACTATAGGTATGTAAATACTTGGATTAATAAATAAAGAGGATGGAATACAGAGAGGAGGGACAGAGTAAAAACAAAGGGAGGGATGGATGGATGGAAGAAAGGAAGAGATTGAATGAAAAAATAGACAGATGGAATGGAGATAGGGAAGGATGAATGAAGATAGAGAGATGAAATGAAGGTGGAGAGATGGAATGGAGAGATGGAATGAAGAGAGGGAGAGATGGAATGGAGAAATGGAATGGAGAGATGGAATGAAGAGAGGGAGAGATGGAATGAAGAGATGGAATGAAGAGAGGGAGAGATGGAATGAAGAGAGGGAGAGATGGAACGGAGAGATGGAATGGAGAGAGGGAATGAAGAGATGGACACATGGAGTGAAGAGAGGGTGAGCTAGAAGAAGGAGGAAGGAGAAATGTTGATAGAGATAGAGGAAGTTACGAGGAATAAAGCTGTGTCCAGTTGTCCTCTGAGCTCTGTGTGTGTGTCTGTATTTTTTGGTGGGGTCATTTTTGGGTAAATGTAAACTGTTGGAAATGGTAGTGGGCTGTATGTTATTCACCAGGAAAACAAGGCAATAAAACAGTATAATTACAATTAATCAGAGTACCGGATTTCTGCCATTCAGGGAAATATATGGAAAATGGATAAACTGACAAGAGATTTCTCCGATCCCAGAGATACCAGGAGAATGTCCGCTTTGGAGAATAGTGCGAGGCAGGAAGTTTTTATAATAAATACACAATAGAAGGTGTGGTGGATACTTCAGGTAAAGCAGGATTACAAGGGTCAGAGGAAGCCACAGTCCGTTATGGTGCCACATTGTCACGCAGTTTAGTATTATACAGGGAATGCCTGCACGGTGTCATTAATCAGGGAGAGTCTATGGAACCACCAAAATAGCTCAACTGGGAAAACAGCTATGCTCAAAACTTTCCCAGTTCATCTATTTTGACTTAAAATGTGTGTTCCCACAATTCTACACAGATCTCAGTTTAGCTATTCAAGTAACATGGTTATTTTTGACAATGATGGTTCGGTTTCTGGCAATAAGCCAAGAAAAAATCCCAACTGAATTCAAACAATCATCAGTCTCCGATGGCTTCAGCCAAGAGCAGCCAAACCCCCTCCATCCAGCAAATTGTAAGGACAATCCCCCATATTCTAATGTAATACAATGAGCTGTAATAATACAATAAGCTGTAATAATACAATGAGCTGATACAATTCATTGTCATAATACAATGAGCTGTGATACTACAATGAGCTTTAATAATACAATAAGCTGTAATAATACAATGAGCTGTAATAATACAATACGTTGTCATAATACAATGAGCTCTGATACTACAATGAGCTGTAATAATACAATAAGCTGTAATGGTACACTGAGCTGTAAAAATAGCTGATATTAAACACTATGCTGTAGTAATATATCTGACTCAGTGAGGAACTTGAACGTCCGATTTCCAAATCTGAGAATTGAGCCAGGAAAGCCCCACATCTCATGCACAAACTTTCAACACATTTCACCATAAGATCACTGCAGATCTTGCATTTTTTTCTTCTTCTTCTTATTATTATTATTCGTAATAGCCTGGCATTGTCCCCAGCAGTGCAGTCCCAGGGCCGTTCTTGACGAGGGGCTTGGCCGGTGAGTCTGATGTTGCACTACACTCTGACACATTGCTGAACACATTGCAGTCTCTGCTTAGTTCATTGGGGGTAGTCAGGGGTCTAGAGTGGGCCAGGTGTGGGCGCACAGGGCGGGGGTCGCGGAACTGGTGAGTGCTAACCGGGTGGCTAATAGTCTTCAGGTATCCTATGTGCGCATACAGGAGGGGCGACTTGTGCTTCATCTGGCTCGGTCCGAGACCGATGTCAGGGGGTGGAACGTGACACGGGGTGAGCTCTGCCGGGATCCACGTTATGCCCGGTGGCCGCGGTGTCAAGGTACCTGGCTAGGAGGCCAGCCGTTGGGGGGGTCGTTGCTGGTGCATGCAGATGGCTCTTCCTCGCTTTCAATTTACCAAGGTTTTTCTGTTAGGCCTGGCGAGACAAGGGTTACATGCTGGTAAGTTTGGGAATCATTCCTTCCGCATTGGGGCGGCAATGGAGGCCACACACCTGGGCTTGGGGGAGGTGTTAGTCAAGAGGATTGGGAGATGGGAGTCTGTCAGGTTCCGCTCGTATGTGCGTTTGGGTTTATTGGATTGAGACGGGGGGTCTGGGGGTACTGCATGGGAGTCGGTGTTGATGTTTTGTTTGTTTCCCTAGGTCAAGTCACCTGGATCGTTGGGCATTCATTCGTTTTCTGGCCCGAGAGGAGGGCTGCTGCTCGAGTTCAGGGTCAGCAGCTGGGCTTTCCGAAGGACCAGTTGGTGCTTCGTTGGTTCGGTTACAGGGGTTTTTGTTGGGGGGACGTATGTAATGCTGTGTTTAGGATGGTGGCGGGTGGGGGTAGGCCAGACAATTTTGACCCATATACCCTGGTGTCCGTATTTTATTGGGTTAGGTATATGTTTTTTTTTGTTCTGATTCCGCCTGCCCATATGGCGACTATGCACCTGTCATGTTTAATCACGTATTAAGAAGTGTTACATTTGGGAACCTCTTGATACCAAGCCAAGGTCAGGTAATCCAAGAAAGATTTCAGCCACAGCTGCCAGAAGAATTGTTCGGGATACAAAGAAAAACCCATGGGTAACCTCAGGAGAAATACAGGCTGCTCTGGGAAAAGACAGTGTGGTTGTTTCAAGGAGCCCAATACGACGATAATTGAACAACAGTGAGCTGCATGGTTGAATTGCCAGAAAGAAGCCTTTACTGCGCCAATGCCACAAAAAAGCCCGGTTACAATATGCCCAATAACACCTGGACACGCCTCACCGCTTCTGGCACACTGTGATTTTGAGTGAGGAGACCAAAATAGAGCTTTATGGTCACAACCATAAGTGCTATGTTTGAAGAGGGGTCAACAAGGCCTATAGTGAAAAGAATACCATCCCCACTGTGAAGCATGGTGGTGGCTCACTGATGTTTTGGGCTCTAATGATACAATGAGCTGTAATAATACATTGAGCTGTAATGATACATTGAGCTGTAATAATACAATAAGCTGTTGTAATACACCGAGCTGTAATAATACAATAAGCTGTAATGATACAATAAGCTGTAATGATACATTGAGCTCTAATGATACACCGAGCTGTAATAATACAATAAGCTGTAATGATACATTAAGCTGTAATGATACAATAACAGCTCATTGAGCTCTAATGATACAATGAGCTGTAATAATACATTGAGCTGTAATGATACATTGAGCTGTAATGATACATTGAGCTGTAATAATACAATAAGCTGTTGTAATACACCGAGCTGTAATAATACAATAAGCTGTAATGATACAATAAGCTGTAATGATACATTGAGCTCTAATGATACACCGAGCTGTAATAATACAATAAGCTGTAATGATACATTAAGCTGTAATGATACAATAACAGCTCATTGAGCTCTAATGATACAATGAGCTGTAATAATACATTGAGCTGTAATGATACATTGAGCTGTAATGATACATTGAGCTGTAATAATACAATAATAATACAATAAGCTGTTGTAATACACCGAGCTGTAATAATACAATAAGCTGTAATGATACAATAAGCTGTAATGATACAATAAGCTGTAATGATACATTGAGCCCTAAGGATACAATGAGCTGTAATGATACATTGAGCTGTAATTATATATTGAGCTCTAATGATACATTGAGCTGTAATAATACAATAATACAATAATCTGTAATAATACATTGAGCTGTAATAATACAATAAGCTCTAAAGGCGCAGAGAATCTTGTGAAAATTGATGGTAAGATGAATGCAGCATGTGCGTGGGACGCTCTTGGACTTTCCAGCATGACAATAAGCTGTAATGATACAATGAGCTCTAATGATACAATGAGCTGTAATAATACATTGAGCTGTAATGATACATTGAGCTGTAATAATACAATAAGCTGTTGTAATACACCGAGCTGTAATAATACAATAAGCTGTAATGATACAATGAGCTGTAATGATACATTGAGCCCTAAGGATACAATGAGCTGTAATGATACATTGAGCTGTAATTATATATTGAGCTCTAATGATACATTGAGCTGTAATAATACAATAATCTGTAATAATACATTGAGCTGTAATAATACAATAAGCTGTAATGATACATTGAGCTGTAATGATACATTGTGCTGTAATGATACAATAAGCTGCAATGATACATTGTGCTGTAATGATACAATAAGCTGTAATGATACATTGAGCTGTAATGATACATTGTGCTGTAATAATACATTGAGCTGTAATAATACATTGAGCTGTAACGATACATTGAGCGGTAATGATACAATGAGCTGTAATGATACAATGAGCTGTAGTAATACAATGAGCTGTAATACAATACATTTTAAATAATATAACAAGCTGGCAAGCTGGCAATGGTACATAGAGTTAGAGTGTCTCTTTAATTTTGTTTTTCAGTCTCTGTTTGTGGAGGGAGGATTGGAAATGGGGAATGTAACGTCTGCTCCTTCTGAACTGTTTCCCACATCCTGTCACCACAGGGAGGCAGAGTGCGGACCCTGGAAAAACAAACTCTGTCAGGCTCCCAAACACGGCTCATGAGGAATTTCCGCTCCCCTGATTATAACGTTTATTCTCTTCCTACCACAGACACTGGAGGCTGAAAGGAAACATTACAGAGACTGCGATTCCTCCCAGGGCTCTGTGGTCCTTATGGTATTCTCGAGAAGAATTTAAATAAATAGCACTAAATGAGTCAAACAATGTATCATACGATGAGATTAAAGGCATTCATTCATCCTTCTCACCCATTATAAAGAGACTGTACTAAACCCATTGATTAAAGCAACTCTTCAACTACCATAACCACTACAGCACACTATAATCTCTCCAACTACCATAACCACTATAGCACACTATAATCTCTCCAACTACCATAACCACTACAGCACACCATAATCTCTACAACTACCATAACCACTATAGCGCACTATAATCTCTACAACTACCATAACCACTATAGCACACCATAATCTCTCCAACTACCATAACCACTACAGCACACTATAATCTCTCCAACTACCATAACCACTACAGCACACTATAATCTCTACAACTACCATAACCACTACAGCACACTATAATCTCTCCAACTACCATAACCACTACAGCACACTATAATCTCTCCAACTACCATAACCACTACAGCACACTATAATCTCTCCAACTACAATAAACCACTACAGCACACTATAATCTCTACAACTACCATAACCACTACAGCACACTATAATCTCTCCAACTACCATAACCACTATAGCACACTATAATCTCTCCAACTACCATAACCACTATAGCACACTATAATCTCTCCAACTACCATAACCACTACAGCACACTATAATCTCTCCAACTACCATAACCACTATAGCACACTATAATCTCTCCAACTACCATAACCACTACAGCACACTATAATCTCTCCAACTACCATAACCACTACAGCACACTATAATCTCTCCAACTACCATAACCACTACAGCACACCATAATCTCTCCAACTACCATAACCACTATAGCACACTATAATCTCTCCAACTACCATAACCACTACAGCACACTATAATCTCTCCAACTACCATAACCACTATAGTACACCATAATCTCTCCAACTACCATAACCACTACAGCACACTATAATCTCTCCAACTACCATAACCACTACAGCACACCATAATCTCTCCAACTACCATAACCACTACAGCACACCATAATCTCTCCAACTACCATAACCACTATAGCACACTATAATCTCTCCAACTACCATAACCACTACAGCACACCATAATCTCTTCAACTACCATAACCACTATAGCACACTATAATCGCTCCAACTACCATAACCACTACAGCACACTATAATCTCTCCAACTACCATAACCACTATAGCACACTATAATCTCTACAACTACCATAACCACTATAGCACACTATAATCTCTCCAACTACCATAACCACTATAGCACACTATAATCTCTCCAACTACCATAACCACTATAGCACACTATAATCTCTCCAACTACCATAACCACTACAGCACACTATAATCTCTCCAACTACCATAACCACTATAGCGCACTATAATCTCTACAACTACCATAACCACTACAGCACACCATAATCTCTCCAACTACCATAACCACTACAGCACACTATAATCTCTACAACTACCATAACCACTACAGCACACTATAATCTCTACAACTACCATAACCACTACAGCACACTATAATCTCTCCAACTACCATAACCACTACAGCACACCATAATCTCTACAACTACCATAACCACTACAGCACACTATAATCGCTCCAACTACCATAACCACTACAGCACACTATAATCTCTCCAACTACCATAACCACTATAGCACACTATAATGTAAGTAGTCAAATTGTTTCCCAAGGGATTGACTTCTTACCTGGGTTTCCCCCGAGTGCCGCTCTCTGTCTCGCAAACAGTCACAATCTTTCTGCCTGAGCTAAACCCCTGCAGTGTGTGGCTGATCGCATTGGTTGAGAGCGACCACCAATCAGAGAGCTAATGGATGCTGCTAGCTAGAAGGGAAATGATAGGTAGTCACGCCCTGCAGACCCCAGTTACTTACACTTCGGGGGAGCACTCCTGGCACCATAACCACTGCAGCACACAATAGAATAATTCTTGTAGAATGATTGTTATTTAGGGAATG